CACACACACACACACACACACACCACATTCACAAAAAGATAGCTTTGACTCCAAACACACAAAGATCGCCGCCAAACTCCCCAAATGTCACCAATCCATCAATGAGGAAGAGGCAGGGCTAGAGTTCCTTGCAGGCCAGTCATTGGTTGATGCTGAGCCATCAGTCAGTCATTCAGGGGCAAACTCAGGTTTATAAAGGCAAGATTGGTCGCTGCGTTAGGAAAGAGAACACATCCGATACTGACAAGCCTTCTTCAAGAGGCGCATCCTTGGAAATTGAACAGAGAGACTTAACTTTGTTATACAGGTAAAAAGAAAGCTATTTAACTGTAAAGTTGTTGAGAAGACTTGGAATTAAGTAGACGAATACCACGGTCTGGTTGAGAAACAGAAGAAGCTTAGAAACCTCTGAAACTATCACACCTGAAGAGGTTTTTCAGCATTTCAGGATCAACTGAGCTTCTCAGGACAAGTAACTAAAAGAACTCAACTCTAGAACGAGCTGGTTGATCTGAGACCAACAGACCAACTTTAACATCATCGCAGCTAATGTCCACACCTTCCTAACACGTCTCCGAAATCAACAGGAAGTCGGAAGGGTCAGAAGAATGAGTTGAGCATGAGGAGAAGCAATACCGTTTGAAAACCTGTTCATCAGCAAGCTTTTTGGAACAAAATCCTGAACACAGAGTTCAAATCTTCAGAAGACAGTTGTGATAATAGTTGTGCGCGACATAAATAACGTGCTGATCTTTAGGTGCTCAGCAACAGCTGCCATGCTTAACAGTGCAGTGCTCGTGTCTGTAATGAAGGTTGTCATGATGATGCTGATGGTTCTTGGGACGGGAGCGGAGGCAGCACCCACAGAGAGAGGTAAGGGTTAGTAGTTAAGCTAGCTGGTCTTAGACACACACACTGTGAAGCTTTTCAAAGTGCTGCATGTCCTCCAACAACATGACCCTACAGGTACCCCCAACATTTACCATCATTTTTAACGATTATTAGAAAATAAATGTCATGGTGAAGCTACAGTTAAGCCGACAGTGAAAGTCTGAAAACTAAAGCACTTGGTTAGGTGAGGGAAACATTATGGTTTCCACCTCTACATGAAGGACAGTACTTCCTGGATGATTTACTGGATGTAGATTACAGATTGTCACATACTAAGAGAATTCAAGGATAGAGCGGTGGTATACCTGATAAGATGGTCATTTCCTAAGAAAACATCATGAGGCGATCGTCAGCTAAAGCCATATTTATGGGCAGAGCAGGACCAGCATGTCGGTTTAGATCACATACCAAGCTCATGTTGGTTCACCAGATACCTTTAAGCTTATGAAGCCTATCCTAGCAATTCTGTTCACAGCAGCATGTTCAGCACCAATTGAAGTAGCCTTTATGTCGAGAGGGGGAAACGAGGTGTGGGGGTGCTGGATGGACCTGTAGTGCTACTGACCTTCATGCAGGAGTTTGTCACATTAAAATTAGCCTTTTTCCAATAGGGTTCGTCAGTAGGCAAGTGAGCATACTTTAATTTGTAATGTTAGTTTGCTGAAATTTCACTTCTACATTTGCTGTTTCCAAATGTACAAGAATATGAAGGACGGATGAAATATTCACAGCAAAAGTTACTTATATAACAGATATGTTATTGGCTCAATATATAGTAATAGTAAATGAGGAAATGTTATGTTATTTTTTCCATCCTAAATGTAAAATTGAACCATGTGTTTAGCTGCCTAACAAGGTCCAGTAACATTGTAACTGGATGGTTACAACAAAGTTTCTCTCAAAGATTTGACATTATATGTTAGACTGCATTAACATCTGCTCCACGTAATGACACAGATGATAAGCTCACGACATTTAATGTAGACAAAGACAAAGTGAATGTGGATGCAGCTGTTAAACCTTTTAACAAACTCAATGCCTTTACGAAGAACATGTTTGGAATCAGACACCTTTTGCTGACTGATTCAAAATAGTGAAACATGTTTGTGGAATAAATATCACTTATATCCCAATATAAAACATTAATAACATAGGTTTAATCAGATAAAGAGTATGGGATTTTGGAAAGTGACAAACTAAGATTTGGATAGTAAATTATATTGTTAAAAAGAACAACAGCAGTTGTGTAATTTGACTTTTTGACCCGCTGACATTCCTTTCATTCCTTACAAAACTACCTTCGAGTGTGTGTAGGTGTGTGTGTGTGTGTGTGTGGAGATCGTTTTGTCTAAACACAAACACACTGAGCTGCATTGTTGCAAAACCTCAGACGTCATTACGCACACACATAAACACAATTCATACAACTCTTATGTCGCAGCTGAAGGTCTCGCAGCAACTCTTCTAGCAACCAGCAAAGCAGTGGAATCCCACCAAAACAGCACGTGTGTGTGTGTGTGTGTGTGTGTGTGTGTGTGTGTGTGTGTGTGTGTGTGTGTTGGCTATACGAGACTAAGAATAGAATGAGTGTGAAAATCAAAGAAAATGAAAGCCCCGAACTCAGGTTTTCCAAACAAAACCTAATCTGAGTTAGTAGCCAAGTATAGTTTCTCTTTAACCAACCCATTCTCAATCCCAGCTCGTTGAATACCAACACTTGGCCCACCAAGGCACCCTTCAGCATCTGTACGGGACGCACCAAGCTTTCAGCTAACTTCAATGTAAACCCATCCAGGTCAGAATTAGACACTCACAGCAACTGAAAAATCTGCTAAGGTAGGAGGTTTGGGTGAATGGTTGGGTCAAACAAACAGACTTTCACCCAGGAGACAGTTGTCCATGTCCTGGGTGAAACCAAAATCAACATTGACTTATTTTACCTTTCTTTTGTTACGTAACCTACATACATACCTAACATTGTGAATGTAAGTTACGTAACAAACATACCAATTACAAGTAACAAAGGTTTTTAACCCAAACCATGAACCATGAACCTAAACAATTAGTTATTCTGCCTAAACGTAACCAAGTAAACCTACAGACTAAGTAAGGACACTTTGCATGTTACCAGCACATTAAATTTAATTGATAGATTGCATTGAAAAGTTTGAATTGTCGCGCCACTGACTAAAGCATCGGTATCTGACGAGTTTCCTTTGGAAACCATTCTGTTTAGAAGGACATGGGCATGAGCAGTGGTGCAGTTCTAGAAAGAAGGGGTCAACTATAAATCTGGACTGGCTGGTGAGCAGCGCCCACCATAATTATACAGTGCACAATGGGCAAAATGATCAAAACTATGAAGGTCTGATGAAGGGTATTGTTTAGTCCTCTGGCAGAGCACAAGGCACTTCCATCATAGCTTAGCTTTTCCAGGACCACGTAATGACTCATCAAAGGGAAAGTCTTCTGTGTGCTGGCAAAAACTACATCAAAAACCAGTCCCCTTACAATTGTTTTTCCCCAGGCTTTGTGAAACCTCTTCCCAGTCTCACTCACGCAGAGAAGTCTTCAGCACTAAATCCAAGCCAGTACCTGAAACACTGGCTCCTGAGTACCAAAGCTGGAGTGGACGGGACAACAAGAATCACTGACAAAACCACTACAAGGACTATCATTGCTGGAAACAGAGCAGGGAGGTTGAGGACCAACCCTGCGACAGCCGGTCCAGATAAACGAGCCCAGATGCTGAAGATGATCTCAGCCCTGGAGGAGCTGCACAGGACATTTAACAGCACACTGAGCTCACGGATCACCATCATGCCCCGAGGTAATCATACTGTGAACATGTTAGGTTCACTTACTGTGCTTTGAAACAATGGAAAGAAATGAAAAGTTGCAGATTTTTTATAGGAAGCAAGAATTGAGGTGAGGACATAATATAGCACCATTTCTACACTTTATGACTAAACATTTCAAACATGTCACAGTTTATTTCCTGTTGTGGATGTGATGACATCAGCTGACAGGAAGTAAACGTGAACCCGAGCTGTTGCTTTGCAATGCAATTCTGTTGAAAGGCTCTTTAGGCTGAGGCCCAAGTTACTCAGGGAGGCCGTTTCCTGATGTCCGTCCCCACGCCGCCCATTGGCTCTCTTATTCCCCACATAAACTCACTACTGAGACACTGTCCTGCTCTCCATCAGGGGATTTTCACTGAAGCCTGTTTGGTTTTTCATTTCAGCAAACGGCAGAAATTCAGGAAGAAGAAATAAAGTGGTGAGTTGTAAAAATATTTGCACTCATATATTTTGAAAGGAATACTTTACCTTGCTTGCTCCACTGCCACTTTTTATTCTTGTATACTTCCTATTTTTACTTATATTCTTGTTTTAGGTTCACAAATATGTAATCAATACATGGTACATCAGTATAAATTCCAAACAAAGGGAGTCCAAGGGCGGGGAATGGATGCCATAGGGATTTGTTGTGGGTTTACAAGGATGCAGGCAGTTGAGGATCCTTCGTTTCAGTAATCATCCTCTCTCCATTCTCCATTCTTTCTTCTGCCGCTGTGGCTGAAGCCTCCTGCTCCTGAAGGAAGGGTGAAGCCCACCACTGCGGCCCCAGCAGCAGTTGATAGCACTGCGTCCAGAGCAAGTGTCGTCGTCCCCAGTCTGACTGGTCGAAACTTCAAGAAGTCCCTCCCACCGCAGACCAAGAAGACCAACAAAAGAGGTGAAAGTCAAAGGCCTAAACGGCGCCTTATCGTAGTATCTTTACAAGGAATAAAAGCAGAATTCATTGGCATGGGTTGGTAACTACCCACAGAATACCAACATGGCGTCCACCTCAGCCCTATTTGCTATGTATAACAATGTGCCTTTAAAAAAGCATCATTATTATATTGAACCAGGATTTGTCTTTTCCCTTTAAAGCACTTTTGCTCTATTATAGCCAAAACCAAGGCCATCCATCATTGGCCCAAGTGCTCCCAAAGGGGTTGGACTACATGTTACTATTTCTTAGCCAGAATCTCCTCCCCGCTGCCTACATTATGTGAAATAGTACATTAAAATTACTCCACAATTTGTTAGTTCACATCAAAGAGAAGAACAGGTTATATAAATACAAAGTGCAGATTGTCTAATGAGAAAGTTGAAGGTGACTGTCTGCAACAAGCAGCTCCGAAAAACAACATCTGAAAATATTAAAATACTGTAAGATCCAAGTTGTAGTGAACCAGAATTATCATTTAACTCTGAGTGGAAAATAGGATGCAACCTTCAAACAACAGTCAGAATGTGTTATTTATACTGAATGTTTATCACTGTCTTCAGCTGTCATGCAAGTATTGCAACTGCTTTATGACGGGATGTTCTTCTTCTTCTTCTTCTTCTTCTTCTTCTTATCCAACAGTGTGTTTCTGGAAGTACTGCTCCCAGAACTAATCGTCTCTCAGCCAATGTTTACCTTCCCACCGCTGGTCTCCCTCCATACTCGCCCACTTTATCCCACACCTCACACACCAATCACCTTCTCCCATCCATCCATCCATCCATCCATCCGTCCGTCCATCCATCATCTATCCATTCATCCACCCAACCAACCATCCATCCATGCATCCAAAAGATCTAATTAATCCATCTGGTCACATTGTGGTCATTATCATGAAATGATCCAAGCCCTGTAGTACACATCTTACATAATGTATACAATGCAGCTGGGTAACTGTGTGGGGTAAACCACGCCCAGTGTTGCCAACTCTTTTCCAATGAAAGTAGCTAGCAGCACTAGCTCCAAAGGTCACTCAATCTATCGAGTCGGCAACAAGGACAGCTGTCCCTTCAGGCCTCCCTCCAAAGACACTCCCCCAAAATGATCCTTTATGAATGTAAACAACCAACATGGCTATTGTTAGCACACACAGCTGTCAAGATAGAAACTTGTGTGATGAACAGTGAGTGCATGGGCAGAATACGAGCAGGCAGACAGGTAGGTTGGGCTTATTACAGTCCTGTGACAGCCGGGATACCAGATGTTTTTCTTCTTTTGTCAGATCATTTGACTTATTGATTGCTGTCAGAATGTAATGAGAACTTCAACAGAAAATCGATAATGTTTACAATCCCTAACTTTTAATGTTTTTTTCAGGAAATATATTCACATTCACAAGATTGCAAATTGAACCAGTGACAACAGAAAATGGCTTCTACTCTTCTACTGTTTAAGATGTGCACCCAGTAGTTTAGCTTAGCTTAGCATAAAGAGCTAAAGTCTGTATGCTAAGCTAAGCTAAGTGGCTGCTGGCTTCAACTTTTGGCAAATACCATAAAGATACCTTTAAATCACCATCAAACTACTGGGTGCACATCTTTAACAGTAGAAGAGTAGAAGCCGTCACTGAATCAGTCTATGAAACTGGTTCATTTATTGATGTGAAAATGTAACATTTTAATTTAAAGTGGTAATTGTTAATTGGAACATTGTTATTGGTGGGTCCAACCTAAAATATCAGCATCAGTGCAGGCCTCCAGAAGCTCATACTGCTTCATCCACCCATCTATCTCTCCCTCCATCCCTCCATCTATCTCTCCCTCCATCCCTCCATCTATCTCTCCCTCCATCCCTCCATCCAGTCTCTCTTCCTCTCCTCTGGCTCTTCCCGGACCTCTGCGTGATAGGAGAGTGTTGCTGTGACATCAGGAAGCCCCACACCTCCCTCCACACCGGCGCCAGCCTTGACTTGGACCTTTTCCTTCACTCATTAATTAACAAGATTGACCAATCAAAGAAGACGATGTGTGCTCGTGGCCGGGCACATGAACAAACATCCCTGTTAACCCTTTCTCTTCCTTATAAGACAGACACATGTCGTTTTTTGTATGTGTGCACCAACTTTGAAATAAAGTTAATTTCTGGCAAAACCCCACTGTGACAATAAAGATTTCATTTTTTATCTTAAGCTCTCTTCAGTTGTTCATGATGCAGCCAGACTCACAGGTCATACATATCTCTGTGTGTCTTTCTGTCTGTGGACATCACTGCGATAGCATCACAGCTGTGTCAGATGTAGTCTTTAAAGGTGTGTAGTTGAGATCAAAATGAAGACTGAGATTTAAGATGGTTGTGGTCCGAGCAAGGGCGCCAGATATAGGGGGGTAGTCATTGGGGAAGGTGCCATTGGGCCCCACTTTATGCCCCTGGTCTAATTTAGTGTCGTGGCTGGTCGATCTCTAGTTATTATTACACTTGAAGAACAAAGAACTGTTCAGCCTGTATTCCTAAAAGTTCATGACATGACCATTATGTCGTCACATGCTCGTTATTGAGGAAGCGGGGGCTCTGAAGAGCAAGCAGCTTTATACTACGAGTGATCAGAACAAACCTTTTTAAGGACTGGAAATTGTGTGTAATTTGTGTAATTTATTTTCACACGGTAGACCGTAACGTAACAGAATTGGTGAGTTTGTGTGGAAACATGGACCTCCATCACTCATTGTTTGTTTAATTGAAATCAGTTGAAACCTGTACTTTCGGACTACACGTGAACCAGGACTAAAAGTGAAAGATCAGACCTCCAATGATGAGCTGTCGATAACTGTGTTTTGTCCCAGAACTGTACAATTATTCGATTTGAAGTGTGACTTTACCCGGGGTGATGAGTTCACAGTACCACGATATGAACAGAAGGACATTCCTCCTCTGGATGTTCCTATGGTAACTGAGCTGTGTGTTTGCGGTCTGGGTGTGTACACTCTGGGTCCTTACATTCAGAGGGTTTCCACAGAGGTCACCATCACTGTCGCCCCGGTGATCAGTGTGTGTGTCTGCACATGCTCCAGTGTTTACGGGTGCGTATGTGTTAAGTATACCGAGTCTTGGACATACAATTATTTAGGATTCTTTGAGCGAAGAGTCCTCGATATGAAGTACAACGTGTTCTTAATCAAATAGCAGCGAAATAAGAGATTATTTTAAAATAACAGAGTGAGTGAATTTTATTATCTAATCTATTCCAACATATGGAGTCTGTAGAGTGACACTGAAATATTTTTTGAGGTTTACAGTGAATAGTTACAGATCAATAATACATTGATAAATCGATAACATCACATCGTGATTCTCTTGTGGCATTCACTGCCTTTCAATAAGCTTTTAACCAAAGAAGCTGAAATGCGTCGTATCTGCTCTGCTCGATTCGTGCGGACCAAAACAGTTCTGTCAGGCAGAGTGCACCCAAAGAGCTCCACTTACGCTGCCCATGTGTCCTACTCCATAGCTCCGAAGGGGTCAAAGACCGAGGCCCAGCCTTCAGGTGACCGTGATAGCCTTGCTTTTAACCAGGAAGTAGCATGCTGCATGTCTCCGCTGAGCATATAACAGTCTGTGCATTCCAATACCCATACTACCATACTACTTAGTATGCCAGAACAAGATCTAGTATGTCCCAATTGAATGTATAGAGCACCGTGAAAAGACAGAAGTCTGGGATTTGGATCACAGTGAAGGCCTTTCTCATGTTGCACATATTTTGACTCTGTTACTAATAACACCAATGATCGCTCAGTCCTATTCAAGTGTTCCAGTGAGAGTGACAGTGAGCCAGCATGAACCATCACAGGAACCTGGAGTGCATCTGTGCTTCTCTCATTGTGACGAGTCCAACTGTCTGCTGTGATAAAGACCCATCACCACTGGGAGGAGCTCTAATGTATTCGGTCAGTAACAATGTCGAGTCAGTACAGCATGTATATGCTACTGTCAATGCATGTCATATTGTACTCAAATTGTTATGGAATAGAATAGAAAGAGCACATAACTCAGTATTTACACAATGAAATGGTAATGACAGAAACCCGGAGACATCAGTGATAAAATCAGTTTATTAAAGATTGTCCCCAGAGAGGATATAAGGCCAGAACACAGCAGGCTGTTTCTCATCTCTGCCAAACACTGAATGGCTGGAAGACGTCTATCAAAGTGGTGGTTTGGTGCAGAAACACACCAAACTACTTCTGTTCATCGATCAAACTAATGATTTGAAAGAAATAAAGCTGCATTCAAGGGAACTACAACTTTTTCCTGAATTCTGCTGTTCTCAAAAACCTGTAATAAAATACCAAATTGATTAAAATAAAACAAATGATGTCCCATTCACATCATTTTGTTTTTAGAAAGAGTAAATGACCATGACAGGAGGCACTGTTTTTAACTGATAAAGGTGATTATTGTAGGAAAATAAATGCAAGTTTCACCCGCGCTGCACTGTTGATGCTGCCGACAGGAGCAGGGAGACTTTGGATAAGTGAGGACAGGATTACAACGGTGGTGTTTTCAGAATCAGTCCATCAAAAAGTTAAACCAAGTAGCACCGATGCCTGCCCACACTCAGCCAGTCAGTATTAGATACAAAAGCAGGATGTCAACGATGATCACAATCTGAGTACATAGTGGCAAAGCATCAGTATAGAGAGTACACATTTAGTACAATGAAATGTTCATATACAAGTACACAACGCTCTTCATCTTGATTTAACCTCAGATTCCTCATTACCATTAAGACAGATATTCAGTGAAGAAATGTATTTCATACACTGTGCCTATACTGGGAGGGTTGACTGCACTGTGATCCACTGAACACTGTAGTGCAGTTGTTTTTACAATCATCAATGTTTTTTTCTTAAGTAAGGCTTACAGGAAAAGTGTCTGATTTATTACAGCTTGAATATGACTTATTACTGAATTTGTCCTGCAGTGTCAGCAGGCTAACGCAGGCGAGCTAACGTTTGGTCACGCATCACGTTAGCTAAAGTGTTTGCAACTGAAATCTCTGGTCCTGTTCCACCTGCACTGCTTCTATCACTTTATAACGGCAGGACTGGAGGGAAAATTCAAGTTTTTTAGTTTTTGACCAGCTGGTCAAGAAACACAAGCAGTCAGATGATCCGATAATTAACCGACTAACAGTTTATCGCTTTATTTTTAGGCCAAAGTGAGACAGAAGGTCATGAGGACTGATTCTGGTGCAGTCGTCTTACACTACTCTGATGTGGACATCACTTCATGTCCTCAACATGTGGCCTTTATTTTCTTTGGTGTCTCTATTGCTGTGAAATAGTGTTGTGCCTTTTGATGTTACCACCTATTTAAATGATCATCACATGACATTAGGATGGTTTATACCTGATGCTTTAGTCTGGTGATATTTAGCTTAGCTACAGATCTTGTGTATGTATACATATATTATGCATTATGGTGTTAATGTTCACTACGCACTAGTGTGATAATTAATAATTATAAGTATAAGTTAATAATTTTGCAGTCTCGGAAACATCCGTGGCTCCCAGAATCCAATGCATTCACATGTCGATGGTAATATCCCAGACACAGATCAACATTGGAGGTCATGGTCATAAGACATCATAATGTCTTCTACTCCAAAGCTCTGAAACAGGACCTAGAGACACATCTTGAAGAATACTTTAGAAGGTTTTAGGAGATATTGTTATTTTCTTTTTTGCCGCAGGTTAAGAAGAAATGCCTGTACGCTAAATATGAAGCTTAACTTTAGCTTAGCATAAACTGTGAAAACAAGTGGCTAGCCCAGCTCTGCCCGAACAAAATAAAGATGCACCTCTAAAGCTCACTAATTAACATGTACCGTACAAAAACAGTTTCACGCTGGAGCTATTTGTGGGTCAGTGTGTGCATTCTTCTTTAATTTCACATATTTGGATGTTGCCATGATTTAAAATAAGATTTGATTTTCAGATTCCATACATTTATATGCTAAAGGTTCTGATTCAAATTAACAAAACAAGTTGTTAACTAGACTCTGTTAGATGAGCTAAACATTGTTCATTGTGCTATTTATTTAGTCTTTGCAGTGAACTTGGACCGGCCATCATCTGAAAAGTGAAACTAATAATCATTCTACAAAACCTCTTGTAATTATTTGTAGAATTATAGGTACAAAGACACAATAGATGACTGTGCAACCCAACCTGTGAGAGCACACACACACACACACACACACACACACACACACACACACTGAAGACTTGTACACACACAAACAGGTAATCAGGATGAGGGCTCCACTTCCAACTGATGCAACGATATTACAGTTAAAAGTTAGGAGTTAATAGATGTATTAGTATGGATCGGCCTAGTCTATAACCTGGAGCTCATATTCTTCATACTGTATAGCTTCCTACATGGTAATGTAAATTTATCAGGATTCTCCCACCAGTTGGATTTCTTTCCTTATCACCAGTATTCTCCATTCCTTACTACTACCCTCATCTCTCTTGTCATGCTTCCTTGCCTGCTTGTCGTACCCCCGACAGTCACACATGATACATCTCTCCAGGGTTCACTAAAAGACATTTTCCTCCTGTCGGTGTTCTCTCATTTTTCACCCCCCTTGTTTCCGTAATTTCCAACTCTTGCTCTTATTTAATTTGCTTTGCCACATCCAGATAGGCAAAGTGGATCTCCCTCTCAGCGGGGCAGGTGCTGGTGAACTCCTCCCTCTGATAAGCGCAGTTTAAATACCTCCACACCCCTGTCATCTCCGCTGGGATCTCAAAGCCTCTGTATTTCTTGGCTACGACCTGCAAACAGAAAAATTAAACCACGAGTGAGTTGACAGGTGTTGGGAACATTGTTGGAGCGATCTAAGCAATCCTAATATTCCCAGAATGCATTATCTCTTATATGTGGAGCACATAAACACATTGTAGACCATTCTTTCCCTACAGTATGAAATATCAGTGAACCTTCAGGATGTGTAGTTTAGGCAGCAGGTTGCAGTCAGCCAGGGTGAGCTCAGACCCGTCTAGAAAGCTCCTGGAGGACTCGGGCAGGTCTCCTGAGGCGTCCGCATCAATCTCCTCCGGCAGGGGAGTCCTCAGGAAGTCATCAAGACGCCGGAGAGACTTCAGCAAGGTCTTCTCTAAGGCTGCAGATAGAGATAGAGATGGAGCAGTAGACAATGGATCAGATGATATGATAGCTCCTTGAGTAACAAATATAACCATCACATTAAGACCTTAAGAGGTAGAGATCTCAAGCTATATACACATTACAGCAGAGCTGCATGCTTTTGGCCAATCAGAGCAGCCTAACAAGCTGTAAACTCAACACTGACACATTATCACCTTATAAAGTTGATATGGTGAGCATGTTAGCAAACAGTCCACATCCACATCCAGCAGACACAGAGCAACATCATAGTTCAAAAGTCTAATATTCTGTCTCTCTGAGCTCCATTTTTGGTCTCTACCACCTTTAGAGACTAACATCTGGCAGCGTCTTAGTGCTCCACAATGTTCAGCAGCTAGTCTCTAATACCAGCTTGTTTAGTTCGGTTAAATTGAACCCTGGAGCATTTACCCCCTGGGTACGGTTTGTTTAGACAGGTGTGAACACAGCAATCACACTTGGGTACGAATCCAAATAGCTGAACCGAGACCTTGTTGATGAGGTGGTCTAGGTTCGGTTACAAACAAACTCTTGTACTGTTCCATACAGTCTGTTTGTGGTGAAAGGATGATCCGACCACGATCCGATCCAACTGTGAGATGCTTTGCGCCTTTTTTGGACTAAACCAGCGATGTGATTAATACATTTTATCCGCAGATGTGTCTCATTTTCAAACTGTATTGTTTGCATAAAGTGATAAATGCAAACAATGTAATAATTAATGACCAGGACCAAGATCAACGTCAGTAGTCCCTCCATTGTGGCATTGGAAAGTGGCACTCTAATCTATTTCTGGAACAATCTGCTCTTCTTTCACTCTTTGTTTACTTCCGAGAGTCTTCCTGCATTGTAAATGCTGCCACGTGAACACAAACTAAACTCGAGGCTACATGCATTATTGTAGCAAATTGGTACCAGATTCATTTGCTCTGGTCCCAATCTGGTAAAACACCTAACTGTGTTTCTGCTATTCGGTTATTTTCATCAAAGCTTTTCAGCCCATATCAGTCGGCCTGTCGACCCCTTTGGCTGGAACAAAAACCCTTTTCCTGAGTGAAATCATTTGAAGCCAGCCCTCACACATCCTCTCTCTTACCGTCGTTGGTGTCTTTCCTCGGGTTTTTGATGTAAGCTGAGAACTTGGCGAACACATCGATGCCCGCTGTGTTGGCTTCAGGATGTTTGGGAGCCAGTCTGGGGTAGCTGACGTTAAAGACATGTTAGAGTAGTCCACTGAATACCCCTGTAGACTTGAAGTAAATGTGTGTAAATGTGTGTCCTGTACCGTGGTGGGATCAGTTTCTCCTCCAGGAACTCTTCGATCTTGTTGACATCGACCTTGACTTCGCCATTAAAGGTCACAAAAGGAGGGTTTGTTCCTGGAGCGAGGTCCTGCAGGTCAGCCGGCTTCCTGGCAACACAAAACATACAACATACGGTGTAGACACCAAGAAAGACAGAGACTACAGCAGACTTATGGTTGTTGCTCTCGCCTTTACACACCAGGGACGAAACAAACAAAAATATGGAATATTCGTTGAAGATGCTCAAACCTTTATCATGGAGACCGTTGGCGTCACTGATCCTGACCTGTAAGCTTTTATAGTATAGCTTTCTCAACAAATACATGTCAGTTCTGACACATATGATGTCCATGTTAGCGTTGGCTAATGCACTTGGTAATAAATGCTTTTCTATACGTTACCTTGACAACAAACTATGTTTACCCCTCTTTTGTCTCATTTAACTATCACAATCAAGTTCGACTGCTTCACCTCCCCAGCTGTTCTCTTTATATACGGTCTTTATCATCTTTACTTGGTTTATCACTGTCTGTGACAGTCTGAATAACGGAAACTATGGGAAAATCTACTCATCCCATGAGCAAGAGTCATTATTATTATTGGCTGTCTTGTTTTTATCGGCATTCAAAATTAGCACAACATTTAATCAGCTGTGAAAAAATACTAATTTGGGGATTTTGTTTCATTTGCGTCATTTCAACCACAGAGACTTTCTTTCCTTAGACAAAGAATAAAAGCTTCACTGAATGTTTTACATGGTGAGCCCAAAGGTCTAAATGCATACCAGAGGAAAAACTAGCATTACGGGCACATCCTGCCAATATAGAATGGATGTGTGTGGAGCATGTTACCGTTTGAGGTCGACGGTGGTGACGTTGAAGATGACTCCTTTAAGCCACAGGATCATAAAGAGTCTCTGAGAGAATGGACAGTTACCAATGCTCTCCCCATCACTTCCCGCCTACAGACAAACACACACACACCAGTGCAGAGTTGAGAGAATGCCATAGATCACATAATACAAAGCCTATAGAGTGTCAGTGCCTATATTTTAGACCTGAGCTATGACCAGGTCATAGCGGTCTGTTGATAGTTGAACAAAGACAGAAGCTCCTCTGAGAGAAAGACTGGAGGTGTATGACATCACCATGACATCATGTGACATCAACATTTTTTATGACCTGGCCAGTAAATCCATGGATTAACCTTGTGTCTGTGGATATACCTGCACTCATCAACCATAACCATGTGAGTTGACCTGACTAAACCCAACCTTTCCCCAACGCTGCCATTCATGGATGCATGTAATTAGGGAAGGATTTTACTCATCACTTACCTTTACAAATAGCTCAATGGTAGGGAAGCCCAATTTCTTTACTGCAATGTCACACCAGGACATGGCGGCCAAATGAAAGGTGATGTGAAAGCTCACACTCCTCTGAAGACCCCTCAAAGACAGCTTCCCCCAGTTACCGCAGTAACAAAAAACAAACCCCAACAAAAAGTATAATCCATGTTTAGTTCGTCCAAAACAGCGGCCCTCTTATCCTTTCAGCCACGATAATATACCACAAACCAGCACCATGCCTATCTGCCTGTCTGTCTGTCTGCTTGTCTGTCTGCCTGTCTGCCTGTCTGTCTGTCTGCCTGCCTGTCTGCCTGTCTGCCTTCTCTGTCTGTCTGTCTGTCTGTCTGTCTGTCCATCTGCCCGCTCCTCAGACTGCTGCTTGGTTTTTTCTGCTTTCTCTGGAATGCCAGTGTCTCCTCCACACACAAATCCTCTTTGTCAGAACGAATATTAAACTCAGTCTCAAGTCAAAATATGTGTGTGTATTAACCACATTGCGAGGGTAAAATATGTTCACAAAGTTACAATATGAGAATAAAAAGCCATGTAGGAGCAGGAAGCTGAGCATTGCTTGAGGTTATGGTAAGGGTTGAAGCAAGATGTAGTCTTTAAAGGTATGTAGTTGAGATCAAAATGAAGACTGAACTTTAAGATGGCCGTGGTCCGAGCAAGGGCGCCAGATATAGGGGGGTAGTCATTGGGGAAGGTGCCATTGGGCCACTTTATGCACCTGGTCTAATTTAGTGTCGTGGCTTAGTTTACATAAAATGATAATCTGACTTGAGGTCAATGTTTGTGTGAAGTTGGGAGGCACAGAATAGTGCATGAGTTCCTTCATTTCCCAGAGGAGTGGGTGGGAGTGGAATCTCAAACACACACAAAGTAACCAGTGTGAATGGAAAGATGTTTTTCACACCCACAGCAGCTGAGACGTCTCTTATGTTTCCCACACTCAATACATCCAATATGGATTCTTTACATGAATCAGTAGCAGTGAGTTCAACCCGGGGTAGCTGTGAGACAGTGTAGTGTAAGTACATGTGCTGTACATCTCCTGGGGGAGTAGAGGGTGAGGCTGAGGCTGAGCAGGAGTGTAAGTAGACGGGACAGCTCGGTTCAACAGATCAGCACTGGACCACAGCCAGTGCCACAGATCTAATTATAATGAATGCCCTGTGTTAAAAACAACAACCAGTAAACCTTGAGTCGACCCTTGGTGCTGGGCTGTTAAACATAATGTACATGCAGCATTCAGTTTGAGGAGAGTATGTGTTCTTTCCAGCAACGCTGTGCCCACAGCTCTCAGCACCAAACAGCAGGCTAATCAGCTTACAGAGTGAGAATGCAGAGATTAACCCTGCGTGCAACAGGCAGCAGCACAGCTCTGTTATTCACTCATTAGTGCCCTAACACCAGCTAGACAGAGTGTCAGACAAGACAAATGACATACTGTATTTCATGACAAGTCACCATCTTATTAGTTCGTCTGGTGTTTTGTAATCATGAAAGAACTTCTCAATGAAATCCTCCACAGACCTGTATTTACTGGCTGGCTCATTGTCTCAGTGGGGGGGAGTAAAGCCAGTCTAAATTGTGTCCTTCGGGTGCTATTGAGTCCAGCGACACAGAAGGACGCTTGAGCCTTTCCATTATTTTTCTACTTCAGTCTGTGCTGCCAACAGAGTGACCATTGTTTGAATGTGAGCTCCCACAGAGAACAGGCTTGTTGTGTGTACGTGTGACGATATTAGTGCATTTTTTCATGGTGTTAAACCTCTCTGCTGGCCTCTTTTATTTCCGCCTCACTTAGGAATGTGCTGCTGAACCAGAGAGCAAAACTGACCTCTGTGTGTATAGGTCTTCACCTGATACATACATTAGTGTTCATTCAAGTTTAAGAATGGACACCTACATAAACTCACCAGTACAAGCTTCACAAAGGTCAAAGTTCTAACAAGGTTATTGCATTGGCTTGTATTGTAATATGTGTGTTCTTGTTATTTTGTCTGCAACCTTCAGGATTGCATGCATGGAGCTATGTAGGCTACCGTGCCGGATGGATTAGGATATCACTGACTAAAAGAGATGAGGTAAGCAGATCAACAGCTCTGAAACACTACAGTCCCTGAGAGGTTTGTTTCGTTATGTCCTGGATATACAGCAGCCAAATACTGCTTTATTTAGTATTCAATAATAATGATGAAATAATATCATCATACATAGGTAGGTGCGATAGTACATGTACACCTTATCAGTGGCATGTCAGTTGAGTCTGCAAGCTAACCGTGTTGGATGGCTTGGTTTGAACTGATTATGTTAAGATTAGCGGGTGGCTAAATGTTCAATTCTACTGTGTATTTATTACTCACTCAGAAAAGTAGCCACAGTACAACAACAATGGAGCCATTAACAACATGCTTGTAGGTATGTCTGTGTCTGCTGGAAGGATGTTTTCGGCTAATGTGAAAGGATATAGTTGAACATTTATGTTTGAATCTGTTCACTCACTTACTGTGATATTTCTGAGGCAAAACATACAGAAGAGCACAATTTTTAGTTTTAGTTCTGAGATGCCACGGGACATTCTGCCTGGGCTCATGTCCAGACCCGGTAGCCAAAATGGCTTGGCTCAACAGCGGCCTGAATCCGGCATTTGTGTTTGTGAGAGCCATGCCAGTCTCCTGATGAAGGATGCTGCAAAACTGGGCCCAGTTTACGGCTCCAGAGCTGTTCATGTGCTGCTAATTGGGACTTTTTTTTTCGTCCACATTTCTCCCGAACGTGGCCTTGGGGCAGCCGTGTACCTGAGCCGCCTCATGTTTGGATCTGCGGTGTCACAAATGCAAGGGCCATTCTACCTGTAGTTAGCCAAACTTAGCTGACTATATGTATTCTGTCCAAAAGCTTCTAGCCGATGGCTTCCACATTCAGTACAAAACAAATCAATGTGAATCTTGCATGGAGTACATTTACAGAAAGAGTTGGTTTCCATGGCAGTGTTGACTCCCTAACTGTTAGCAAGACTTCAAAGCTCAAATAGAGCTGCGTGGAAATAGTACAAGCGGCTGCATTGGTTCTTTTAGGTACCAGTGAGCCCATGAAACACAAACCAGGAAGTCTGCATTTTGACGTGCTTCATTATAGGTGGACACGTCAACTCATCAGTGTACGCCAGTGTACTTCTCAGCAAGTCATAAATACTGGTTGACTTCTTCCTGTTTGCATGACACATTCTGTGTGTCATGGATGTCAATTGATCAAGTTTAAAAGCTCATCACACATCAAAACACTGCACAGCTATTAAAAGCACTGTAATACAGGAATTTACAACTCTGAAATGATTTCAATGCAGCATTCAGGCAAACTAACAATGGGCCTTTTATTGGTCAACGCAGTGTATTTGCCAGAAATGTCGAATTGCAAAAGTTGACAGAAGTCAAAAACTAATTGTCATCTTTTAACTGTTGTTTCTTTTTTTCTGTTGTGTTTTGTGTGGAGGTCCTCTGTATGACTCTAGTTTTCAGCTTCATTAGGTCATTATAGGGTGCTAGAACCATCAAAGTCATTGACCTCGACCAAGAAACCCTTGTTTGACTCAGGGATGACATAGGGTATGTTTACAGCATGTGTCGGTTCATATGGTTCATTACCTTGACATACAGGGAGATCTCGTAGTCCTGGTCTAGGGGTGTTCTGCTGTTCCCTCGCCCAGGGGCCAAAGGGCTCTCCTTCCTCTTATGGGAGATCAGTTTCACCTCCTCTCTCTTCTCTTCGATCATCTCCTCCCGCTGGGGGATGTATGAATGGCCATCCTCCAACAGCACCACTCGTTTTTTCTTTACCTGATCATCCCTCTTTTTGGGTAGGGAATCATGTTTGATCACTGACTTCAGCTCCTTTATCCAGTCCTCCTTCCTTGGAGGACTTTTCTCTCTCTCATTTCTTCCCCTCTCAGATTCCCAGACATCTTTTTTCACAGGCCTCAGTTCTTTCCTCCAGAGTTTAATTTCTGGTGCACTCTCTTCCTCAGGTTGAACTTTTTTAATCCACTCATTATCTTTCTTTCTGGGTGACAGCACTCTTGCCGTCCCCCATTCTTCCATCCTTAGCGGCTGTGGCTCACGACACAAGATCCCATTCTCCATTGCTTGTTTCAGTCCTTTAACTCTTCCATGTATATCCAACTCTACCTCTCTGTTGTCATCGTTTGGCCTCTTATCCTTTTCTACCTCTTCTTTTTCATCTTTCTGTTTCTCATCCATCGCTTCCTCTGCTTCTTCATCTTTGTGTTCCTCGTCCCTCTCTACCTCTTCTTCTTTTTCATCTCTCTGTTCCTCTAACTCTTCTTTTTCATCTTTTGGTTTCTCGTCCTTCTCTACCTCTTTTTCATCCCTCTGTTCCTCATCCCTTTCTACCTCTTCTTTTTCATCTTTCTCATTCTTATCCTTCTCYACCTCTGCTTCTTYATCTCTCTGCTTCTTATCCTTCTCCACCTCTGCTTCTTCATCTCTCTGCTTCTTATCCTTCTCCACCTCTGCTTCTTCATCTCTCTGCTTCTCATTCTTCTCTACCTCTTCTTTTTCATCTTTCAGTTTCATATCTTTCTCTTTAACAAGTTCAAGTTCCTCTTCTTGCAGTTCTTGATTATCTGGATCCTTTGTCTCCGCTATAGTGTGTTCAGAAGGGGGTGTAATGGTGGCAGGCTTTTGTTCTTCAAGTTCTCTCCTCAGACTGTCCTCTATCTCTTCAATATCATCATCTAAAACCGTCACAGGCTCTTCCGCCATCTCTAACTCTCCTTCCATTGCTTCTTCTTCTGCTCCTCCTCCCTTCTCGTCTTCTACAAGGGCCTGCTCTCTTAGCTGTTCTCTCAATTTTTCTCCCCAATCTGTTCCTCCTTCTTTGAGGAGCTCTGAAGGATGTTCTTGCAAATCACCTCTCTGCTCTGTTGTGGACTCATTATCGTCTGAGGTGCCCTCTTCTCCAAGGTTATCAGGTACATCTGCACCTCCTTCCTCTAGTTCAAATGCTTCGTCCACCTGGTCCAATTGCGCATCTCGCTGTTTACCTAAAGGTACCTCCTTGACACACTGCGGTACTGGTTCTGGGAGATCTTCCTCAGCCTGGTTTTCAGCTTGAGCAATCTTATCTTCTTGCACTTTTAGATCACTTCTTCCTCTGTGCTCTTCCTCCCCCATTGACTCTCTACTAACTTTATCACCCATCTGCCCATCCTCTTCCGTACTGTGTCCTGTCCCATCCATCACTAGAGTATTAACCCCACCCTGTCGCACTTGCTTCTCCTCTTGCTGCCTCTTGTTGATCCCTACCATCCTCGTTTCCTCAACCCCTCCTTCTGTCTGCTGTTCTTCAGAGGGTTCAAGGGCAACGTCTGGTGTCTCTACCTTCTGATTTACTTCACCCACTATCTCTAGAACATCATCAGGAGAGGTCATTGCATATTTCACACACTCGTTGGTTTCCTTATGCTCAACCTTTGCTTCTATGCAATCCTCCTGCCATGTGATGTGATTATTACTGGTGTCAACTTCCTTTTTGCTGGATTCTGCATTGTCCTTCTCATCAGTGTTTTCCATTTTATTATTCTTCTCACTGGTTAATTGGTTGGTCTCATTGGCCACCAGTTTAATTGTAGCAATTGTACCAAAGGGTATTCCATTGTTGCTAACAGTTGAGGTTTGGCATAGATCCTCTTGATAGTCGACTTGTTCTTTTATCCCAGCGGTAACAGGGGTCACATCTACTGCTGAGTCCTCAAAGCTTTCTCTTACATCACCATTGGTGGGAAGAGTAACAACTTCTGCTTTGTCTGTGTTATCTGAACACAACTGTGGACCCTCTCCCGGCTCTTCCACAAGAGTACCTGAGTCCCCAACATGCTCTGCATCATCAGAAGTGGACACCATCTGGTGGTCTTCCAACCCATTGTCTCTGTCAGTGGTCTTATCCTCCCTTACCTCTGTTTCCAAACTTGCTATCACTGCTTCTTGTTTATTTTCTTCATCTTCCTTGTCTTCTTCTTTTTTCTCATTGCTGTCTAATATATACGCTTGACCTTTCTCAACCTTAATCAATGCTGAAAAGTGACATGGATTTTCAATCATCGTCTTTGTGTCTTTTGACTCTTGTTCACCTTGGGTCTCTCTTGTCTGTTCCTCTATCATTTGGTGCTCTTCATCCCCCACTTTTATTCCTGCCTCCCTGTTTTCCTCTAGTCTTGCACCTCCTCCCTCCCCCTCCAGTATAACTTCATTTGGTAACAGGGTCTCTTGGATAATCCTCACTTCTTCCCTTTCACTCTGCTCTCTGCTGTCTCCTTCAGCTTGCCCCTCTTCTGCTTCAGTCATCATCAAAACCTCCTCCCCTACTTCCTCGGCTAGTTCCACCTCCTCATCATCTTCTTCTCCTTCCTCATCCTCTCTTCCTCTCTGGGTATCCAGGTCTGAACAGATATCTAGTGGGCCGTAGACAATGGTGCCATTTGACAGGTCTGGGTTTGGGCAGGATCCTGATTGAGCCATTGGGAAAGTTTGAGGAAATGATGGGACACTTACTCAGGAGGAATTGATGCCCAAGTGACCAAGATCAGTGTCAAGTTCTACAAGATGTCCAGTTTGTGGTTTGGGCCCAGTATTCCAGAAACAGTTAAAGACGAATTTTGGAGGTATGACTAAGATTGCAGAATGGATCCAGTTTCCAAATCAGACCCCAAAGTGGATCTCAGCGTGTTTCTGAGGAGACCAAGGTACCAAAGATCATAAAATATATCCAATATTCCAGAAAAATAGTTTGAAAGGATCTCACAGTGTTTCTGATGGTCGAAAGTAAGATTTCCAGATGAGTCCAAGTTCGAAGAGTAGTTCCGAGATGGATCTCTGAATGTTTACACAGCCCTGAAGATCGTAAAAGACCTGTTGGATTCCCAGGAAGTTCCAAAATTCCAGGCAAAGGGAAGACAATCCGTATTCTGATATTTTACCTCCACCGATCCTGAGACAGTGTATATTATTCAGGCACACAGGTTTACGGTTTGACACTCGTTTTACTCTTTGCTTGTGGCTGTGGTGCTCGAATTAGTACTGCACCTTAAGCCCAGTTAGACATCAATAAATACAATCTCCCTCTCTTTCTCTCGCTCTCTCTCTCTCCAAAGGATTAAATGGAGGCTGATCCCCACATGACCTGGAGCTTAAACCCCTCTGCCACCCAGGGACCAGCACCACTTCACTTGAATTTCCTTAAACACAAACACACACACACATACACACACACACACACACACACACACACACACACACACACACACACACACTACCATTACATACAGAACAGTACACTACACGGAAGCACATAGTCTTAGTTTAAATCTTTTTCAGCATGGTGTACTTTTCAAGGTTTGCTTACAGCACTAACACACTAGATTTGTTTTGTCTATTTCTACCGTCATTTTGAAAGTGATTGTGTAAGCTTGTATTACCATGAAATTGGTAACACAGTATGGTATTGTGCTGTTGCTCACTCACAGCAACAGCCAGAACAGAACAATGGTCTTGAGACACACACATTCTGCAATGTATTTAAACTTGTTATTAACACATAATAATTTTTCTTATCTTTGTATTTTTAACAGATGTGGAAGAGCGCAATTTCTATATATAGTATTATTTATTTAAATAAAGTCTTCAAATGCACTTACAGTATTAAACCTGCTTATGTAATACGTATAGGCCACCACAAGAGGGCAGAATGTTGACTTCAAATAATATCTTGAGACAGCAAAAAGTAAAAGTCTGCAGAATGTTTTACAACTGTTGACCCTAATTATAAGGAACATTGGGAGGTTCGTGAATAAACATTTACTTCATTAGCAGGATAAAATATTTATATAATATAACAAAAGCAAAGAAGTCAACTTTAGATCGTTTTTTGTTATGTAATAGTTCAAGTATTTTGAATATAAAGCTCGATATAAATCAGTTTTTAATTTCTTTGCTCTTTTAATGTGAAAGTTGAATCTTGAAATATGTAATGGAATTATTCCTGTATATAAAATCACATATTGTGAATGTTTCAAGTTATTTATTTGTAATATTTAGTTACAAATAAATAAATAAACAGTTAACATAAACACAGACTATCTTTACTGCACGTGTGTCTAATGTTGGCTTACTAATGCGTTTGGCTTCATGGGCTGTTGCTGTAGCCTTTCAGATTCAGCTTTTAGGCCATTTCACATGGAAAATAAAATAGAAATGTGGAGGATGGGAATACAACATCATGTTATCCTTAGTTGTGTATATCAAAATGCAATTACATAAATTGCAGTTATGTTCAACAATATATATCAAACCCTTGAAAGAAAATTAGCCCTTTCCTATATGATATATTTGAATACTTTTTTTTATTTACAGATGTCCTCCTGAAATATGGCACCGATTACTGGGTGGCTTTAACAAAAACATTTAAAGAAAGAAAGGAAGATATTGTTGTTTTGTTTATTTTCCTTGCACCAATCATGTATTTTCAATTGTCATTGTATTAAAAGAACATTGTTCACGTCATATTTAAATTGTTGCTAATAGAAGTCAATTGTAGCCTGTGTCACATGGTTTTCTTTGTCCTTCTGGTGGGAACTGCTGATATGTTGGTATGACTATGCATCCATCCATCCATCCATTTTCCACCGCTTATCCGGGGTCAGGTCGCGGTGGCAACAGGCCAAGCAGGCTAACCCAGACTTCCCTCTCACCGGCAACATGTTCCAGCTCATTCTGGGGGATCCCGAGGCGTTCCCAGGCCAGCTGTGAGATGTAATCCCTCCAGCGTGTTCTGGGTCTTCCCCGGGGTCTCTTCCCTGTTGGACGTGCCTGGAAAACCTCCAGTGGGAGGCGTCCAGGAGGCATCCTAATTAGATGCCCGAACCACCTCAGCTGACTCCTTTCGACGCGAAGGAGTAGCGGCTCGACTCCAAGCTCCCTCCTGATGACCGAGCTCCTTACCCTATCTCTAAGGCTGAGCCCGGCCACCCTACGGAGGAAGCTCATTTCGGCCGCTTGTAGCCGCGACCTTGTCCTTTCGGTCACGACCCAGAGTTCGTGACCATAGGTGAGGGTAGGAACGTAGACCGAGTGGTAAATTGAGAGCTTTGCCTTCCGGCTCAGCTCCCTCTTCACCAAGACGGTCCGGTGCAGCGCCTGCTTTACTGCTGCAGCCGCACCGATCCGTCTGTCGATCTCCCGCTCCATCTTACCCTCACTCGTGAACAAGACCCCGAGATACTTGAACTCCTTCGCTTGAGGTAGGCACTCCGTCCCCACCTGGAGGGAGCAATCCACCGGTTTCCGGCAGAGCACCATGGCCTCAGATTTGGAGGTGCTAACTCTCATCCCCGCCGCTTCACACTCGGCTGCAAACCGCCCCAGTGAATGCTGGAGGTCACGATCCGAGGAGGCTAACAGGACCACATCATCTGCAAACAGCAGAGAGGCGATCCCGAGACCCCCAAACCTGACGTTCTCCACCCCCCGGCTGCGCCTAGATATCCTGTCCATGAAAGTCACGAACAGGACCGGAGACAAAGGGCAGCCCTGGCGGAGGCCAACACCCACCGGGAACGTGTCTGACTTATTGCCGACAATGCGGACACAGCTCCTACTGTAGTCGTACAGAGACCGGATCGCCAGTTGTAATGGGTCCGGCACCCCATACTCCCGCAGCACCCCCCACAAGAACCCCCGAGGGACCCAGTCGAAAGCCTTCTCCAAGTCCACAAAGCACATGTAGACTGGTTAGGCAAACTCCCAGAACCCCTCCAGTAGTCTTGCGAGGGTAAAGAGCTGGTCCACTGTTCCACGGCCGGGACGGAATCCGCATTGCTCCTCTTGAATCTGAGGTTCGACAAACGGTCGGAGCCTCCTTTCCAGCACCCTGGCATAAACCTTCCCCGGGAGGCTGAGTAGTGTGATACCCCGGTAATTCGAGCACACTCTCCGGTCCCCCTTTTTGAAAATGGGAACCACCACCCCGGTCTGCCAGTCCATGGGCACTGATCCCGACCCCCATGCGACATTGAAGAGGCGTGTCAGCCAGGACAGCCCAACTATGTCCAGCGCTTTCAGCATCTCAGGGCGGATCTCATCCACCCCCGGCGCCTTGCCACCGAGGAGCTTTTTGACTACCTCAGCGGCCTCTGCCAGGGATATGGGTGAGCCTCCCCCTAGATCTTCAGGCGCTGCCTCCTCTGCAGAGAACATGTTGGTCGGGTTTAGGAGTTCCTCAAAGTGCTCTTTCCACCGCCCGACGATGTCCCCTGTCCGGGTCAGCAGTCCCCCCCCCTGCTGAGAACAGCCTGGGGTAAGCCCTGCTTTCCCTTCCTGAGTCGTCGGATGGTTTGCCAGAACCTCCTTGAGGCCAACCGAAAGTCCTTCTCCATGGCCTCCCCGAACTCCTCCCATGCCCGAGTTTTAGCATTCGCGACCACCGCAGCTGCAGCCCTTCTGGCCTGCCGGTACCTGTCAGCTGCTTCGGGAGACCCCTGGGCCAACCAGGCCTTGAAGGTCTCCTTCTTCAGCTTGACGGCTTCCCTCACCTCCGGTGTCCACCACCGGGTTCTCGGGTTGCCGCCACGACAGGCACCGATGACCTTCCGGCCACAGCTCCTAGCGGCCGCGTCCACAATAGAGCCTTTGAACATGGTCCATTCAGATTCCATGTCCCCAACCTCCCTCGGGATGTGTGAGAAGTTCTTCCGGAGGTGGGAGTTAAAGACCTCCCGGACAGGGTCCTCCGCCAGACGTTCACAGTTCACCCTCACTACACGTTTGGGCTTGCCGGGTCTTTCCAACCAGTTCACCTGCCATCTGATCCAACTCACCACCAGGTGGTGATCAGTTGACAGCTCTGCCCCTCTCTTCACCCGAGTGTCCAAGACATACAGCCGCAAATCAAATGATACGATTACAAAGTCGATCATTGATCTCCGGCCTAAGGTGTTCTGGTACCAGGTACACTTATGAGCCACCTTATGTTCGAACATGGTGTTCGTTATGGCCAAACCATGGCACGCACAGAAGTCCAATAACAAAACACCATTCGGGTTCAGATCGGGCAAGCCGATCCTCCCAATCACCCCCCGCCAGGTTTCTCCATCATTGGCCACGTGAGCATTGAAGTCCCCCAGGAGAACTATGGAGTCGGTAGGCGGCGCCCTTTCCAGGACCCCTCCCACCGACTCCAAGAAGGCCGGATACTCTGAACTGCTGTTTGGTGCATAAGCACAAACTACAGTCAGAGCCTTGCTCCCCGCAACCCGTAGGCGCATGGAGGCGACCCTCTCGTTCTCCGGGGAGAACTCCAACACAGCGGCGCTCAGCCGGGGGCTCCCCTCCTGGGTCTGGCTCTGGGAGGGTGCCCCGGTTTCCCTGGTCCAGGCGAGGTGACTGAAGTCCGTGGGCTGCTTTTCATTGGGGTCGTTTTGAACCGCTCTTAGTCTGGGCTCTCCCCTGAGACCTGTTTGCCTTGGGAGACCCTACCAGGGGCTAATGCCCCGGACAACATAGCTCCCAGGATCACTGAGCCACTCAAACTCCTCCACCACGTTAAGGTGGCGATTCGCGGAGGAGATGACTATGCAAATTACTACTAATACTGACTAATACAGTGAGCAATATAAGTTCAAAAAACTAAATGTAATGTTTTATTATGTGAATACACGTTTACAATCAGAACTTGACTCACTGAGAGTATTTGCACAATGTAGAAAATGACAAAAAAGCTATTATGATGTCAACGTCTTCAGATAGTCGGCGAAAACATTTTATTTTTTTAAGTGTTTTGTGTGTGTGTGTGTGTGTGTGTGTGTATGTGTGTATGCCTAATTTCTAAATGTATTCATATTTTCATTGCAACCTTTGCTACAATTAATACAAATATTGTTATTGTGTCAGTGTTTGCTATGGACACATTCGCTCAGCTGTACGCGTTAGCTAACACCAGAAGGTGGCGGTAATGCAACACGGAGGATGGAAGCTGCACTTAAACACCGAAGAAGAAGAAGAAAAAGTAGAAGAAGAAGAAGAAGAAGAAGAAGAAGGCGAAGCCGCTGTTCATTTTACGTCATCTCCTTTATCCTCTGCGCCATGCTAACACATCTATCCGAGAGCTCTATTTACTGTTAATATCAGAGAACATTGTGCTGACAACACCAGACACATCATCCATCACTACCGGAAGGAGATATTCACGGAATAACGTGTGTTTCGCTTCTTTAGGAGCGTCATTCCTGGTTAGCATAAGTTGCTAGTTAGCTTAAAGCGGGTCGTAAGCTAACGCTCCTGTTGACGGCTATTTAGAGGAAAACCTCGTCGAGGGAGTATCATGAAATAACGCCTCCAGCTTTATCGGTATGCATTACCGTAAATACAACCTTGTGTTAGCTACTTCGTTAACGACGCGGCTAGTAACGTTAAGCCGTGGACGGTGGGCGTTAGCCAAAGCCTGATTATTCAAGTGTATGTATTAGCGTTGTGGTAAAGCGGCTTCGTCCCTGTGTTTCCAGAGAGCTGTCCGGGTTACAAGTCGCGATGCAGAAGATGGAGAAGGGCGGCACAGAGGAGGCGACGGTGGACGTCAAGTTTACCGATTTACCGAACGCCCTGATAGCCTGCAAAGTACCGGAGGATTTGTTCAGTGAAGGCAGCATCCTGAAGGTAAGGACGGAGCGCTGTGTGTCATTTACAGATGTTGGTATTTAATACAGCTGCGGGCCTTATTGTGTAGTGTTGCACGCGGACCTTTAGAGAGTCCCATTTGGATTGTAAAACATGTAAAGTAATGTCCTGTGGAACATTGCTTTAAGCAAATGTGCAGGAAACGCTTAAACTTGAGACCAGCTTGAATGGAGTTTGGTGCTACACACTCTATCTGTAGTAACAGTGATGCGCCACTAGATGGAGTTATGAGTTATTTGAATACTGCTATGGTTATGACTAAGTTGACAAAAAAGCATTCTCACTTCCTGCTTCCTTAGTCATTGTGAGTGACTTGATGGCTGAACTTGCCTCAGTTTAATGTAATGCACACACATCAGCCACAGAGATGCATCATTGGGAAGTTTCTAATAATACTATAAAAATAATAATACTCTGTTGGCGTTTGCTACCGGTCTTTCTTTGGTTCGGGGACAACGGGATGTCCTGAAGCTCGAGCCTTGCTGATGAAGTTTAACATTTAAGATGGAAGAAAAGCTCTGGTAGAAAACCATATTCTTCTATTCATGGACATTACAATGTGGGCATGCCCAGTAGTCTCATCACAGGACGTCATGCTACCACTTCTCTGCAGCTTGTACCAGCCACATGCACACACAGGCCAGTGTTTGGGAGATGCTATGAGGTTTGCTGACGCCGATGGAAAATGAAAAACAACAGAGTAAAGGGCGTCTGGTGAAAAAGTGTCCGGTGTTGTGTTTTCTTCCCCTTCTCCCCTTTCCTCCATCTTCCTGCTGCTTTCCTGCTGAGCATCTTCAAGGATCAGCAGGTCAGCTGATGTATCGTATGACCGAATATTCCACTGAGGGTGTGTGAATGTTTCATGAATTCTCGAGAACAGTTCATAAATAGTCCCAGCGAGCGCTGTTGGAATGTACCGTTGTGTTAGCAGCGCACTGTCAGAGCGGAGTGCTGCTCTGTCTATTTATAGAAGTAAAAATGTCGGCACACGGTAGAGATGGTCCTGCTGGTCTCTGGATGTTATTCTCCTCTATTATTGTTGTTGTTCAGCACTTGTAGTGTACATACAGGATGAGATGGTTGGACTTTGAGGCATTTGTCCTGCCCCTCCATTGTGATTGGCAGCTGGGTAAAAATGTTTTTCAACTCTAAAGCTCTCTCACAGTGATACTCGTTACCACTGACTCCGAGTGAGAGATCTACTGTTGGTGTTGTGAGGTGTTCAGGGACACGTGTGTCACGGTGCTCCAGGCCTCTGTGAAAGACACAAGGAAACGTTCTGTCAGTGGAGTCTAAACCGAACACAGAGCTGGGGGGGGGTCATGATGTGTCATTGGAATTTGACTTGAGGGAAACTGGAATCCACCTAAAAGTACAAAGAGTGTTGTAGTCTGTTTCCATGTCTTCAACTACTGGGAGACAGACGCTGCTGAAGGGACTGCATTTCCATGTTTATTGTTAAGCTTTATTGTTTATTAAGGATTTAATTTCAGTCTTTATTGCTGATACGTAGTTGTTTTCTTTCATAACTGTATTTTAGGGCTCACTGCAAAAAGTGTCAACTGTAATCAAGTGTGTAAAAAGTGTTTCTTCTACAGAAGATCATGAAGGAAGTCTATTTTAGTTTATGAGTATTTCTTCATACTGTGGGTCTAGTGAAGCAGCTGTCTTCTCAGAGCAGAGGTCAAAGTTCAGAGACTGGACCCAGAGAGGGGTCTCTCACAGACTTCATTATGATGCGTTCAAGCTCTACTCAGTGCAGAGGAGTATTGGTACATTTAAACGCTGTTATGGTGTGTTCAAATGTCATTTTGTACCTATAACTTTCACCAATAAAAATGTAGCAGCTGGCTATTAGCACAGTGTGTGTGTGTTGGCCAACCAAGAGCGGTGCATGTGTGCTCTGTGTGCTCTGTGTGCACACCTGTCTGTCTGCGCGTCGCCTGTCTCCCTGTCTACTGAGGGAATGGAAAAAAAAAATGGGAAGATGAAACAAAAACACTGCGATGGAAAAAATGCAGGGCTGTGCACACGCTCACATATAGCAGCCACAGCGGGGCGAGGTCTGGAGATGATTAGCACCTTCTCACACACACACACACACACACACACACGGTAATGTTTAACACCAACAAACAACACTTACATGAGAGCATCGGCTTCACTGTCAGGAGGCTCGGCAGCATTACAACGCTTTATTTTCCGACACACAGACACACACACACACACACACACACACACACGACAGTGCTATTAATCATTTCACCATGCATTTACACCTGCACTCAGTGAGCCTCAGACTTCAGTGTGCTCCAGGCATGGTGGATTTGAATATTGTCTCGTCAAATGCGTCTGTGTTGCTATTGATTGCATAATTAATGTTCCAAAAGCAAGAATGAACACGTCAAAAAGTCCAACAGAGTGCTTCTTCCTGTGTTGTTCTAATAACAGCTGGGTGTCGTCCCGTGTTCTCTGTCTCAGCGGCGTCGTGCTCTTCTTCCCAACCCACAAGTGTTTAAGTACTCACACAAAGTGCAAATGTTGGTGGATCGGCCGCACAGCCTGCTCTTGTTTTTCCAACTGCTGGCTGCACACACACACTCGCGCACACTTCCTCTCCACTTCAAGCTCTCTGCTATTAATACCTCATAAAAGCATGTTATCAAACCGCATACTTTCCATGAGCACCACCTCTTGCTTTTTAGCCCTCCATCCTGCATTCTTTCTACCAGTCATGTCTCCTTCCACTCTCTTTTTTCTCCTATCTCCCCTCTTTGTCTGTCAGCTGTCCTCTCTCTCTCTCTCTCTCTCTCTCCCTTTGTCTCCCCCTCTCAGCTTCATCCATACTAAGTAGGGCTGACATGTGTTCTGCAGTCAGCTGATGCGTCTTTGGCATGTGTGTGAAATCAAGAGTTCAGAGGCTCTTAGTCACATGTTTTCCATTCAACAAAGAGTTTTTGTGAATGCAACAGAAAGCAGATTAATGCGTCAGTTTGCTCAAGGGTGATGTCATTATTTTCCAGTATCTCTCTCTACACACACACACACACAGCCCTCCTCTGTGTGATTAGTCAGCATTGGCTAGTATCTGTCAGTAGAGGGAAAAGTAGAAAGGGGCTGCCCCTCCCTCCTCCGCGGATGATTGGCTCGCGCTGAATGAACGAATAGATGAGACCGGGTTGAGGAGAGGGAGGGGATTGTGGGTAATGCGTCATCGGCTGGCTCGAGCTCATTTAAGCGGCGGTGGAGCAGCAGCAAGAGGAGAGAGTGAGCTTAGAAGAGGCCCAGTGACATTTTCTGCTGCACACCTAAATCTCTTTAACATTCCTTCAGTGAGCCGGCAGACCCAGACCTTGGACTGTGACTTTAGAGTAGGGTATCGCTAACATCGTGGATGGTTCAGTGTGAAGACGGAAGAAGAGAAACGACGGCTTCACCACCACAGAAGAAGATCCAGGTGGACGAGGCCAGTGCTGGAGGAAACGGAGCAGCTTCCTGTTAAGGAGCATCTATCACTTCCTCATCTGTCACCCTGGGGAAGGCAACGCTCCACCGATCTCCCCCTTCCTCTTCCTTTTCATCGTCATTGTCGGCCCCATTGAAGGCCGTCTCAGGTATCGGGTGGACAAGGTTTCGGCTCCCCGGATCTCCCATCATGCACATCAAGACCACCAAGTGTAACCGCTTCTGCCTGGTCACCTCGGTGACCAACCAGGAAGTGTTCCACCGTCCCGAGGCACAGGTAAGAGAGTGCCCAAACCAGCTCCATGGTGCTCATGGCGTCTGAATAGTTTTGGATTCCATGACTTAAGTTTCCAAGAGAACGGTGTGTTTTCCTCTGAGACCCTGTCAGTGTGAACAAGGACAGTTTAGTTTCAGTGTGTGTGTGTGTGTGTGTGTCTACTTCATTCTTCTGTCTTCTCTCTTGTATCGCTGATTGGTCATTTAAACACGAGGCTCTCACACAGTCAGACACAGAGGAGGGTGAGATGTGGGGCTATTTATATAATTCATGTCTCATAACTGTATTCATGGCTGCTTCTGGCTCCCAGCCTCCAGCTGAAGGGAACACATTGAGTGACTTCAGTCCCTCTTTGCAGACCACCTTTGAGGCCCTGTTCCGCTCCTTCGACCCGGAGGTGCAGTTCCAGTACTTTAAGTCTTTCCGGCGGGTGAGGATCAGCTTCAGCGACGCTCTGGCTGCGGCCGAGGCCAGACTCCGGCTCCACAAGACGGACTTCAGCGGCAAAGAGATGAGGCTCTACTTCGCCCAGGTAGTGTGTTTGAACCTGTTTCCACACGCTGCATTAATCTATCAGGGGGGGTTGTAGTTTACCAACGCCCCCCTGGAGCCCAAAATAACTCAATATGGAATTAATAAATTAAACTGTTATTTCATCTTGCATATATTTACAATTGTATGTTCTTTGTCTTGTGTCTTCAGTCCGTCCACATCGGGAATCCTCGTCTGGAGCCCCCCAAGCCAGACAAGCAGTTCCTGATCTCGCCCCCCGCCTCCCCTCCGGTGGGCTGGTCCCAGTCTCTGGACGCCACGCCGGTCGTCAACTACGACCTGCTGTGTGCCATCTCCAAGCTCGGACCAGGTACGCACCCCCCTTTGAACACACCCCATCCTGAAGTTGGTGTGTTCTCTAACTCCTCCCACTAAGAACCGAGCATCATTACATCATCACCTCATTCTTTTTCCATACCGGCCCCCTCCTGAACGTCTTCTTTGTGTGATTCCAGGGGGCAAGTACGAGCTGCACACCGCCACCCCCACCACCCCAAGCGTCGTGGTCCACGTCTGCGACGACGAGTGCGCCGGCGACAGCTCTGCCCCCGACGACAGCGACCAAGACGACAAGCCCCGCCCCCTGCGGCCGAAGATCATCCAGACGCGCCGGCCCGACTACACGCCCGGAGAGGAGCAGTGAGCGGCTGTAACATTTTGATCCCGACGCGATCGGTCGAGAGCTCAACTCGCTCTCGGAGCTCTGAAGGTTTGGGGGACGTTGGAGAGACACCCGAGGGTGCTGCCGTGTCCCGTAGAAACCAGCGCTGCGTTCATGTCCTGTGGGAAAGACGGGAGACATGACCTTCCTATTGGAAAACCACTATGATGAATGAGATGTCTGCCTGACGGAACTGAAGCGAATGTTAGTGTTGAAATGTAGGAACTAGTGTTTTGTCGTGTTTTGATCGTAGTGCTCCAGTACGATGACGAGACTTTGCTGGATTCTTTTTGGTTTGTGGTGATATTTTGCACAAAAAAAACAACTCCTGAAAGTGTGTGTGTGTGTGTGAGTGTGTGAGTGTGTGAGTGTGTGAGTGTGAGTGTGTGAGTGAGTGAGTGAGAGAGAGAGAGAGAGAGAGCTGGTCAGGAGCAAATAAAGTCTGTCTCACTTCATCATCATGATCTGGATGTGTGTTATTCAGTCTGTGCTTTGCTTGTTGAGCTGACAGCTGTTGCTATTTGACATTTAACACAGCTTCATCACACGGCCTTTTCTTTTTGAATGCGAAACACACAACGCCAGCCTTCGTTAATGTGAGGGCGTCGGCCACACCCACCTTGATGTGTTGTCTGTAAAAAAGAACCAGAGCTAACCTTCTAAAGTTCATGCTCGGCCTAAAAAGTATTGTGAAAGGATTGTCGGAGAAGTGAAGCTGTCATTCAGCCTCTTCTGGTGCTGCTGCTGTGTCCATCAGCTCGTGTGTGTGTGTGTGTGTGTGTGTGTGTGTGTGTGTAATATTGCTGGTTATGGTTTGTGACATTATTCTATAGTGGTACCGGCTTGTGTTTCAGTTGTGCAGCTTCTCTCCTGGAGGATCTTCCCTGTGAGGAGCTCCACTCACTGCGTCTCTACTGCTGCTGCTCCAGCTCATTAACATAACACATTTACTATTGAATAAAGATCCACGTTCACACGTCTCTTTGGGATTTCTTCACTTCTATGTCTCGTCATAAACGTTATCTCAGTTTTTATATAACTCCCCTGTTTGAATTCTATGAAGGCTTTTAAGGAGTGACAGGTCACCAGTTTGGTTTATTTTTGACACACACTGTTTTAAGCCTGTTTTTGGCCAAAGTGCCAAATTTCAAAACTCAGTTCTGAAACCAGTGGGTGACGGCACAGCGACGCCTTTTCTACAGACTAGAAGGTATAACATGCTGCTACACTCTGAAGAAAAGCTGGGAGTGCGTGTGACGGATCCAAACACCAAGACGCTCAGTTGCAAATAAAACGCATTCTTGGCCATAAAATGTGCACCGCTTCTCCAACGCTGTCAGCCAGAAATACCGTTCATTCAAATCCTTTTCCATGCTGGGTCAGGGCTGCTAGCTGTGGGGTTGGTCGACCCTTTCTTACGATGTCCAGCTTTTTCTGGAAATGTCCTCCAGAAATCCGTTTCTCCTCCTCCAGCCAAAAACACAGCTAGGTAAAAAAAAAAAAAGAATCTACACCAAGCAAAATGCTAAAAATGTCATAACTTCTCTTACATATGTTTCAACCTGAACTCTTACTAAACACTAAGATCTGCGAGCGCTTTCTGTTTGACAAAAGTCACGCTGGCCCACTGACCAATCACGGCGCACGTTAATGCAGACGTACTTAGCAGGCTACCTGAGTACCACTGGCACGTCAAAGAATACGCCCAACATGTCAAACTAAAGATCTGATTGGTTGGACTATGACAATCAATATCGTCCCCATTTACTTAAACTGCAAAGGCTCTCTAGCGGGCATTGAGCCTCTCTTCTTACATAGAGACATAGGGGCTGAATCTGATTGGATAAAAGCTCTACTTAAAACAAGCTGCACTGGAAGCAGAGCAACTGAGGAAGACAGGAGCTGTGCAATGACAAAATAAGCTAATGGGAAAAACATAATAAATGTAGTGTATTTATGAAAAATTATTAAATTCCTATTATTATATTATTATAATTAAATTCTCACCCCAGAGCTTGAACCATAGACTGCATATGAGAAGTGGACGTAGTCACAGACATCATATATTGATTATGGACCAATCGCAAGCCGTGCAAGAGGCATTTTGTCCATCGCCATCTTGGTTTCTTGGGTAGAGCTCAGTACAACTGAACACTGAATAAGACATTATTACTCCCAGACCGGACAACGCTGTGGTCGCAATCTGTCAATCACTGTGTAGCCCCGCCCCTAAAGCATCCCCTGCTTTATGGTCTGTTTGACTCTAAATGGACCATAATGTACTAAATGAACATCATGCTGTATTAAAGAAGACTTGAAACTAGAGATTGAGACCATAAACTCATGTTTACAATGTTTACTGAGGTAATAAATCAAGAGAGAAGTAGAGTCATTTTCTCATAGACTTCTATACAACCAGAGGAGTCGCCCCCTGCCACACAACTGCAGCAAAACAGCAAAAGACTTCAAAGTTCTTGTGAAATGAGATGGGTTCATGTTCCATCTGTTGTTGCAGTGATGCTGTACATCCTGCAGAGGGAGTGTGGTTATTGTAAATGTACTGACTTTCCACCACGATGATGACAGAGTTACATTTTATTACGTCTGTAACATGAATTGTCTTTCAGTCTTCTTGGTGAATGAAAGCAGCTTATAAACTAAGTCATCAAATCAGAAAATGATCCCAACCTACACCAAGTACTCATTGGCCTTTTCATATGGAGATGACTACATCTCAACAATCAACTTTAGCGGCAGTGGCTTTATTTTAAAATGACTTTTCCTCTTGCAGCACTTGCAGGTTGACATGTTTAGCTGAAATATCTATTGGATGTATAGGTATGATATTTGGCTGACATCGATGGTCCACAGAGGATGGATCCTAACATTCCATCTATCTAGTCACAGCTATACAGCTTTGTAAACCATTAATAAATGGTAACAAGTGGTGGCACAGTAGTGCAGAGGTTAACGCTGCTGCCTCACAGGAAGAAGCTGCATCAGTTGCAACTTCTGAACCTTTGGGCTTTATCAGAAGGACTGTGAGGAATAATCCTCATTGTTTCAAAGGGGCCTCACTCTGTTTTTAGGTGTAAAATGATTCAGAATAAGTATTAAGACAGTTGTGCATTTGTAAAGTAGATGCTTGTATTTGATGTATCACAATGCATTAAAGTAACTGTGTAACTGTAAAATGCCAACAGTATTTGTTGGTTCCAGTATGACTAAAATATAGATTTAAAGATTTCTTCCCAAGTTAACTTCTGTTCCCCACTTTTCTCCCTCTAATCCTTCCTCCATCTCTCCTCCCCTTTTCCTCCACCTCCACCCGCTCTGCTCTCTCCTCTTCTTTCTTCTCGAGGAGCAGCTTGCTTTCACATTGAAGAATGGAGGAGAAGAGCGAAGAGCCGATGGCTTTCTCTGTGAGGGTCTTCACTCTGCAGGAGGAGGTGCGGGCCGAGGAGGAGCACATGGAGACACCTGAGGAGGTAACAGTGGAGGCTGTAGAGGGCGCACTCGTCAATACTCATGCATTTTAAGTTGAGGGTTCAAGATGTAAGGTTTTTCATAATCAATTATTTCTGACTAAATTGCCCTTTTGTTATCATTATGTCGTCTGACATCATGTTGATGTGAATATGAACATTGTTTGACTTTACAAAGAAGCGGTTGTTAGGAGCAGTTCACTTTTAAGTAATTAAGGTTTGTCATGTTGAGTGAAGAAATATGTTGCTTTAAAGGGGAACTACACACATTTTCAAAATGCACACATGTTACTCCTATGGTCTAAGTGAACGTGAACAACTCTCTCCCAAATCCAAAAAGTAGAGTGCAAAAACTCAAATGAGTGATGTCATTAAGTATAAAGTGTGCTCCATAGACCATGAATTGGGGGGAGATGAGCACCCAGAGGAATGTTCTGAGGATATGGGAACATGTTCTGCTGAGAACAACACAAAAGAATAAAGCTCAATTGGGTTTAAGAAAATAAAAGTCATTGTCTATGGAGCAGCTTGATGACATCACAAGTAAGAGACTGACTTCTCTGGTTTGTGGCTTTGCGAGACAGCAGCTCATGTTCACAAGTATTGATTGAACTCTGCATGGAAATAACATATTGGGAATCCTAATTTAGGTGGTGTTGCCCTTTAAGAGATAGAACAACCGAGCGGCAACCTCCGGTGCTGATAAACCTCTGGACCTAAGATTACCTATTTTTGTCTCTATAACTAATATCCACGTTCATGACAACGTAGGTGACGGGAATTTTTTCATAACTCACTAGTTTTAATTAAAGTTATGCATAATTAAGGCTCTGAAATCTTGGTGTAGTGATTATTCTTGTTTGTGTGAAACAATCAAATTGACTTGACTGCTGTTCCAGCAAAACTGAAGGGTCATCGAGGCTCAACTTTCCATACCTCAGTATGATGAAACATCATCTGGCCAACCACCTGCAAGTGCACAATCCTGGTAGTAAAGGTTTTAGTGTGTAAAGTCGTCATGTTTACTTTGTAATAATGAGACAGGAGAAAAGGATGGTCTGTGTGGAGTAATGTGCTCAGGCTGTTCTCATACACTGTAGCTACAGTAAACCAAGAAAGATAATGTCATTCATATACAAACTATTGTGAGCCAGGACACGTGACTCAATACAAAGATCTATAAAGTCGGCTAAGGGAGGAGGTCAGGGTGGAGGTGTGAATCTAAAACCACCAGGAGACAGTCTGTGTGAAACCAGAAGTCACCGTTGACTTATGCGTCATGAAACCTCCGTACTTAGGTAACGCAACACTGATTGCTCACGTTGCTGGACATTCGTTGGAAAATGCACAAAAAATAACAAAACTTTTTGTAAGATATCGTACAAACCATAGTATGTGGATACAATGTTTAATTTCATCCACTAAGAGCTGGTCCAAAGACCATCCATCCATTATTTATGCCTGCTTATCGTCTCAGACACATTCACTCTCACAACTACAGGCAAACCAAACCTAACCTAACCAAACCTAACCTAACCTCAACCTAACCTAACCTCAACTTAACCTAACCTAACCTCAACCAAACGTAACCTAACCTCAACCAAACCTAACTAAACCTAACCTCAACCTAAACCAAACCTAACTAAACCTAACCTAACCTCAACCAAACCTAACTAA